CTCCTTTATGTTCCTGTTATCCTTAGTAGTATTACCTTAGTCTCATGCAATCTATTTTTTTATTATTTTTATTTGCATAGCACACCCAAATGCCCCTTAATCACACTGTCTTTCCGCCAACGCATGGCCTAGACCCTCAACTTCAGGAGACCTGCAGCTATTCATACTCGCCGGGACTGCTAGCCCCCTCAGTTATTGTCGAGCTGCCCTCCTCTCATGCTAACAGTCTCTCGAGCCTCCCTTCTACGCCTTCACGTCACTGCGTTCCTAATCCCACGGCTCGGATTAATCTCGGCGACGACTTGTCTAACAACGAAGATTTCCATAGTCGAGGTACAGTTGGTCCACTCTCTCCTGAGTTCTCCTATTCCGAATGTGATAACTCTTCAGCCATTCAATGCCCTTTTTTCGTGGCTAGCGATAGTGCTATCAGCCTGCTGCCTTCAATGCCCAGGGCTCGAATCAGAAGGTTGCGGCCGGAAGGAGTCGTAAATAGACGATACGTGATTCACCCTTCCAAATCGACGGGGATTTTTGGATTGTCGTCGCTCCTGACTGCTCCTTCGCCTGGCCTTTTGCTCTTTTCATCACCTAAGTGTAGCACCGGCCACGCTATTCATTGTCGTCCTTATTTCTCCGAATCTTCCTCTTCCTCGTCGTCATCTCTCTACATCCCCGGTGAGCTGAATGCGCCTACCTGCATTGTGTCTTCTGACTTCGTCTTCGCTGAGCACAAGTTCTGCAGGCTTAGGTCGCGAAGTACGATTCATGATCAATCAAAACCGCTTATCGATGTTGGACACACTTGAATGCTTTTTTGGCTATTTGTTCTTATTCTATTCATTTTTCATTGACACTTATTCTTACTCATTTGCACTTTTCTCTTCAACACCTACTTGATTTTCATTTTAGGATCTTTTTCCTCTTAACTCTCTTACCTTACACTCGATCTATTTTCACTTGGCTCCTTTTTCATAAAACATCAACCTCCATGTTTGTAACCAAAGTCCATACATCACCTCCCTTTTAAAAGCTGTTCTTTTGCTTCTAGAGAGCATGACTGTGCTCATTTCGACACTGTTTTTATGCACTTTTTACACATTGTTCTAAGGCTCTTGACAGCTTGTCTTTTGAATCACATGAGCATCTCTAACCTTCCCAACCTCCCGCATGACTTTTCAACAGACACGTGTACGTTTGTAAAACGTGAAAAAGGCGTAAATGGCGTGCTATTTGCTGTGTATTCATTGCACCATGTTTAAGCATAAATTGCGGAGCAGCGAATATGGTGCCACAAGGATGACTTCATTGATAACTTTGAAAATGGAAAGCTCAATTCCCTGTGCTAGAGATATTATCTCAGTCTAACTTGTACCATCAACACTGTCAGCAACCACTGATGTAGCCGGTAGATGAGCGCTCATGAACGAACTCGATGGCACATACTCTATAATTCGCAGCATTACCACTGATCCGGCACCATCAAATTTGCCCAATTTCCTGTCGATAATGTACGCTTTCACCAGTTATTGTTCTATAAGGAAAAGCATTTGGCTCATGGTTGTGAAGATGGCCGACTGATTTCTTGTAGTTTCTGTAGCCTATCGGGTGTCACTTCTCAGTCATCATATCCTGCAATTCCCATTCCCTAAGATTACCATCCTGTTCTGTGATTGCTAATTTATATCTTATTAGTTTGTCGGTCATTTGTTTATTCATTTGGTGCCTCAATTTAATTTTCTTTCTTTTTCATCTACAGTTTTTGATGCACTTTATTTATCACCGGCCAACTTTATATGGGCTTATCTCGCCTCTCACTCACTTTCTCAAAATCAAAGTTCGCCGAGCCCCTAACCATTTATCTCGTACTTCTTCTTGTTTCTTAGATCTGAGGCATATCTCGGCTGACTTTCTGTGATCCCCACACGACTGTGTTTTTGTATCAGTCGGTAGGCGCTTGTATTTGAATCAAGGAAAGGAATTGCCTGCAGCACTCGAACATGCTTATCCTTTCCCTCTCCGTCTCAAGCCTGTTATTCTCCAGACAATGACCCTCATCTAATTATTCATCGTAAATTCTATGCTTCATAGGAGTGCTGAATCCATGACGTCTCATTCTTCTCTCGTGAACCTTTTTGATATCCCATATAATCTAATCTTACGCCCTTAGTCCCATCTATGAATGACTCCACAAGAGCCACTTTTATCAGCTGATATTTATGGTTGTTTTTGCGTTCTCCGCGTAGACGGATGCACCTGTTGTTGCCACAGTCTTTCACTTGACCGTCTCTTGCACCTGGCAGCCGTACAGGCCTGATACTGAACAATTCGCTTTTTCTAGTGACTCCTACTACTTTCTCTTACAAAGCTTCATCCTACTTGTCTGTACGCTTCTGATGGCATTTACAGCCCAGAATCTGTACTTGTCCACATAATTCAGAGAACCATTCCCTAGTGTATGCATGTGTTCCCTCCTATCGTGACCATATTCTATGCTGGCACATTTTAAAATGTTCCAGCATTTACTTAACACAATTTTCTCCCTCCCAATATCTGGCTTAAATCCTATTTTCTTTCACCTATCTCATATTGCCGCTACTCTTTTTCGCCCTTCTCCTGGCAAGAGATCTCTATCTGAATGATGAACTTTGTCCCTATCCCTCCGACTCTTCATCGTACTCTTTTATCTGTTAAGTCACCTTAAATTAAGTCAATGCGAAAGTTGCGCTTTCATTTGCATTTCATTTTTAATCTCAAGCCTGATCCGTTTGAAAAGGAAAATAGATTAATTATTTTTCAGCAGAAGGGAGTTGATCCTGCCCTTATTGGGGCTTGAAATATCTTTGCCTCCATCTTCCATTTCATTCTTTCTCACTTAGAGTGACTTCCATAAAGCCTATACTCTGTTTAAACAACTCTTACAACTTCTTTTACATTTTCGTCATAAAGACCATGCCCAGCTTGCCACATCCATTTTGGAAAGGGTCGAATCTCACCGCACCGCAAACCTCTTGCCAATTGTTTTTTGTTCATTTTTAGGCACGCGCGCCCTGATTCATGCATGTACACATTCCATTCCGGTAGTTTACGTGACCTCCATCTTTCGTTATCTGTAAAAAAAACAGTACCAGCTTCCCGGCTTAACTACCGCAAGGCTTGAGTTGAAAGGAGAATACATATTTTATTTCTGTCCTCACTGTTTTTCCTCCCGCCAACTGTACAACGTTGTCCCTATGGAAAACCGTTATTCTAGTGATTCACACTAAGAAGACCATAATAGCGTATACTTTGTATTTACAATTCATTTCTGTATGGATGTACAGAATGAATCTCAATCTATTTTCATATATCGCACCTCGTCAATTCGATCAAAGCTGTGGTTCTGACATAGTTTGCTTCCTTTGCTTATGCATCCCACCCGAATCCCTGCTAATCAATTTAAGCGAATAAGCTTTGAGGACATTTTAAGGACTCAACTCACTATGCGCTTAGCCTTTGAGTAGCGTTCTTCCCCTTTGTTTACGCAGTTTTCGGCCTTGTTTGTTCATGATTTCAATATTATGTCACCCAAGCCTGACAGCCTGGCATGAGACCACGTTCTAACTAAGATAACTTGCAGCCTTAGTCATAGGAGTGCATCATTAGAGGATAATCCAGACCATTTTATGGATCTTATTTTCCAGCTTTCTACCTGAGTTCTACAATGTCACTCGAAATTTTTGATTCAATTTACTTAACGACAAGAGAATATTTTTTGTTTCGGAATTCTTATTCGGACGTTACTTCGAACTTATTAAAGGGGTAATCGCTGGTTATTGCCTCCTGAATTGCCTTTGTTCTGCCATCATTGGTAGGATTGTGTCATATAAAATGAAAAATTTGTCGTTCAATAAATCACCTTAAGGCTAGCCATGTGGCAGAATAATTGTCGTTAAGGGTGAGTAGGCGTACTTTTTAACATGAAGAGTAGTGTTTTCCTATTTCTTGTTTTTTAGTGTGCTCTATCTGATTCATATGATGAGTCTAGCAGTTTTACACATTAGACCGAATATCAACCTGTTCTAGACTGTCTTGGGATCCACTCCTTATCTCCTTTATTTTCCCTTGCCGCCGCAGTAGACTTCTGTCTAGCCCATCAGAGCTTTGAATAGGAATGTCTGAAAACACTTTTCGAATAGAGTGCTTGTAAGTCGATTGAAAAGCATCATGATTCGTCAGTGTAGATGCCAAATAATCTTCCAAGCCACTGAGCAGGCAAATTAGACTGTCGGTCGCAAAGTGGCAGTTGGCCCTAGCCTGTCATGTTCTGATCCGCGCTCTCAGCGCTCTTATTCCACCTGCCGAGGTATCTTCAGCCTGTCTCTTCCAGGAGATTAGACAAAATTCCATCTGTCTTCGGAGTTATTTTTTGATCTCATACTGGCAGTCCCGATTTTTAAATCCTGTTGTACTCCAACGGCACTGAAGCCATTGCTCGAAATAGTGGGGTTCATCAAACGTATCGGTAGACGGCCTAACAAACCTTTACTATGCAGGTTCTGACTTAGGCATGTAGGTTTATGTTGGACAGTTTGGAGCTGAGGCTTGAGAGTCAGAAGTCTCGGGGCAATGATGGGCAACAGGCTGGGGTTCTGACCGCTTTGCCTCAATATATGTTTCTAGGTCCGAGAGCCGATCTGCCCTGGCCGGGATGCTCGAAACTCGGATAAAGCCGTCTGGGGGAAAGGTTGACCGAGGCAATGCTTGGTGTGTACTCCGAATTAACTGGTGGCAGACCTTCAAGTTTCAATGGTGCTTATTTATGCTAACAAATGACATTACGATTAACAAAATGAGGATAAGGACGATCACATGCCTGTTTTGATGTATTGTGTCTGTGCGGTTAGCCTCTAATGAGAGTCGCCCAGTCAGTCGAATTTCTCAAATGCATAAAATGGGAGCTTACTAAGTTCACATGTCTGCAGCAGTAATTGCCTTTTCCCCATTAAAATATCTGCGACTGGTGCTCAGCGACTACTTTTCATCGTAACAGCATGTATCAGCTATTTGACCTTGTTTTCGCAATATGTTCATATTGGTAGGAAGACTTAAAGGAACCCACCTAGTTCGGAGTCCATTGTCTGCATCATCATTTGCAAAGTTGAACCGTGGACGTGGTACATTCCCAAACGTTTCGCCGGCATCGTCAGTGAGTCTCGCCATCCTTAGCACCACACAACAACTCGTCAAAGAGACAAGTTGAGCCAATCCTTTGACCAAACTTGTGCTAAACAATTGTAGTATCTTTCCTGCCCTAGGTTATTCGCGTTTCCGGTAGCATCCTATCATGTTTTCACTATTACAATTTTTACCTTGTTTTATTTTGGTGTAGTGTGGTGTGCTCCTTTGAGCGACATGACACCTTCACACTCCAACTGTCGTTCTCACACACCCCCTTCATCCTTGTGCAGGGAATGTTGATCAGAGTCTGTTTTGTTATTATGCAGTCCTCTTCTCTAGTCTTATCCCAGTCTCTCTCTTGCTCCGTAAACAAGACTCTGATCAACATTCCCTGCACAAGGATGAAGCGGGGGGTGGGGTGAGAACGACAGTTGAGGTGTGAAGGAGCACACCACACTACATCGAAATAAAGACGGTAAAAATTGTAATGGTGAAGGCATGATAGGATACTACCGGAAACGCGAATAACCAAGGGCAGAAT